TAAAAACGGATTACAAAAATCTCCCGCATGGAGAAAAGTGATGTAGAACACATCCATTTCCCTAGAGGAGATTTTTCTGATCACAGCATTGTGTAACTTAACCATATTCCCTTGATGATAATACAAACTTTGTTGTAAAAAAAAGTTGAAAGACAAAAACTTTCAGTGTCCATTTTGTACCCTGTATCTCTGTCACATAGTTGTTATTTTTTTCCACATGGAGGGCAGGACTGAGGTGCAGGTATGAAAACTCCCTCAGTTTTTCCTTCAAAGTTTCAAGACTAGGATTTTTCCATCTGACATTTCAGACACTCACAGGCACCAACCTCAAATCATCACAAGCCCTGTCCCTTTTGTGCTAATGTAGTTTTGACAGTTGGCAGTTGGTCTGAAGCAGAAAACTGTAGGATGACTCATTTTGGTCTTGAGAGAAAATACTAACTGGATAGTTGAGGTGGGAGTGTGACAGGCTTGGCTGTGCAAGTGGGATTTGGACTCATTTTCCTGGTGCTTTTCCTTCTGTGTTTGATCGACAGGCATCTGTGGTGACTGGAAGAATCTCTTCACTGTGGCTCAAAGTGAAGCCTTTGACAGAGTCTATCAGGAGAAGATGTCGGGGCTGGATCCTGGTCTCTTCCCCTGGTCGGCACAATGTTGATCAATGCCCCCATCCACCTACCCCCTCGCCACTCTGCACACCCTCATCCCGGATAGGGTTTCTTAGTGTAGTCCTGGCTGTACTGGACTTAGCTCTGTAAACAGGCTGCCCTTGAACTCAGAGATCTGCTTGCCTCTGCCTCCTGAGTGCTGGGATTAAAGGTGTGCACCACCAATGCCTGGCTATCTGGATAAAAGACTCTAAACATTTTAAGGATTCTGAGGGTTAGCTATTAAACTTAAAAAAAATCTATATGTGCTTTTTTTTTTTTTAATTTGTCATCTGGGTGCAAGTTAGTCATCTGGGACCAGGAAATCTGATGGAGAAAATGCCTCCATCAGATTGGTCTGTAGGAGGGCCCGGCCTACTCAAGGTGGTGCCATCCTTGGGGAAGTGGCTCTGGGTTGTATGAAAAAAAAAAAAAAACAAACAAACAATCTGATCAAGTCACAGGGAACAAGCCAATAAGCATCATTCCTCCACCATCTCTACTTAGTTCCTGCCTCAGTTTCCCATGATAATGGACCTGTAAGCCAAATAAACCCTTCCCTCCCCATGTTGCTTTTGGTCAGTGCTTTATCACAGGAATGGAATGAAGATTGAAATACTATCCTTTTGAGTTACCAGGTGGTTCATATCACAAAACTCAGAGCAAAATAATTTTTAAAAAACTTGAGTCTAGAGCAGACATATCTGCACCTGGTTTCCAAAACTGAACTGCAAGTAAGGTATTCATAATAAAATGTTAATTTATTGTCGCTTTCAAACAACTGTGGTGACGAATTTATTGGTATTGAAGGGGGTCAGCAGAGAGAAGTGTATGCCTGCCTGAGCTTTAAATCTCTAGTTATAAGGAACAAAGGGTCAACATTTTGCTAGTTAGAACTCAAATCAGGTCAGGCTAGAGTGGCAGCTCAGCAGTTGAGAGCACCATGGCTCTTGCAGAAGAAGGGAGTTTGCCCACATCCACACCAGACCCTCACAGCTGCCTTTAAATCCAGATACAGGGGATCTAGTGCCCTCTGGTGGCCTCACAGGCAACTTCACTCATGTGCACATGCAAATAATTTAAAATTAAAGAGTAGGAATCTCATTAGGTTAAGGAAAAAAATCTACATTGCATTAAGCATACCAGAGTCAAACTGAAGCTGAATTATTAGGGTGGAAAAACCCAGTTGTTTCTACCAGGAAAGCTCAACTGAATTAGTAAGAATACTTTTTCTAGTTTTTGAAAAAATAATTTACAAACTTGAGAGATGGCTCAGAGATGAAGAGTGCTCATTACCCTTTCATAGAACCCAGTCCATTCCTACCGCCAACATGGCAGCTCATAACCACATGTAACTACACTTTCGGGGGATCTGATGGCCTCTTGACCTCCAAGGGCTTCTGTGCACACATGGTACACACACACCTGGTACACACACATCCATATAATAAATATTTTCTTAAAAGAAAAATAATCTAACTATTCAGTGGTTCTCAACTTTTCTAATGCCTCAACTCTTTAATACAGTTCATGTTGTGGTGACCCCCGCCCAACAATAAAATTATTTCATTGCTACTTCATAACCGTAATTTCACTACTGTTATGAATCATAATGTAAATACCTGATAAGCAGGATACATGATATGCAATCCCCTTTGAAGTTACATCCACAAGTTGACAAATACTGGTTTAGATGATTAAAATTTAAAATATTGTTTAAATAGGACTGAGTTCTTTATGGTAATTTACAGCCAACATAGTAGTGACTAACAGTTAACATGTAAAATCTTAAGTTTTAGAGGTTTATTATTTGTGTGTATATATGTGAACCTGTGTGCTTGCATGTAGGTGTCTGTGGAAGCCTGGAAACACATCAGATACCCTAGAGCTGGAGGTACAGGCAGTTTTGAGCCACACAATGTATGTGCTGGGGTTTGAACTCTGGCCCTCTGAGGAGCGGGGAGTACTTTAAACCACTGTGTTATCTTTCCAGCCCCTCTTTGAAGGAATAAAGGGTGAACCTTAGGCCTGATCCCTGGAACTTGGAAAAAGAATTTTTGAGATCACTTTTCCAAAAGTATGGATTCCTGATTTTAACTTTGGGGATTCTAGATATGATCTTCATGTTTCCCATTTTCTGCATTGTGACGTTGCTGTCTTTTAGGATCATGGCATGAACTACAGTTCAGGTGGATGTTCACTGCACTGAGAACAACACCAGTTTAGACATGTTACAAACATGACTCCCAACCAGAACTGTAAGAGAACCAGGGTCTCTTCATGTTCAAACCCCAACACTCTAAGACAGCCATTAAGGACTCATTCATGGTTTCAAACATGCTCAGAGTTTATTGAATGTATTTGTTATCTAAATATTGCAAAGTGGTGAGGGGAAGTATAAAGACGGATGGGGGCAGGACACTGTGAAAGAGCAACCCTGGAATCAGCTACCAGTACCAGGTGTGCAACTTGGGACAGGGTACACAGGAGAAATATGACAAAGGAACAGCCATTGTTTCAAGATCAGTTCATGCTGTTCCATACCAGACGGACACCTCTCCTCTCGCTTTCCTCTTTGACCCAGGGACAATGTAAGATATCCAGTTTTCCAATCATTTCCACAGCTTGCAGTAGCATCTGTGACTCCTCAGTCAATGCAGATTTGTCCAGTCTGGAGTGAAAAAGACAGTGCTGTTTATTTTCATTACATTTACTAATTTGTATGTGTTTATACGGGTACATGCTACAGTGCACATGGAAGATCAGAGGTCAACTCATGGGGGTCCATCCTCCCCCTTCTATTATGTGGGTCCATCCCAGTTTGTCAGGCTGGACAGAAAGTGCCTTCACCCACTGAGCCATATCAGCATCTGAAGTTTTGTTGACAATCACTTGCCTCTCTTCACCTCTATGCTGACCTCCCTGTCACCCTTCCCTAGGAATGAAAGAGGAATGTACCAAGTGTCAAGAGAAGGCATGATTCTCTCCCAGAGAGTAGGGACCCT